GAGAAGATGCTGGGACCTTGGCCGGCGGCTTCCCAAACGTGCAAAGCCACGAAAGCCCTCATGTACTTCTTAAGGACCACCAGACTTCACGACCGCTTGTGAAAGATGAGTGTGAGACCGTGCTGTGTAGTCTCGAGCTGACTATTTACCTTCTATTCATCTTCTTTTCTGTTTTTTTCCTTTCTATTATTCTCCCTTTCCCCCACCACAAGTGTAGAGTAGCCAACCGAGCCAAGCTTGGTTAACCTCCCTGCCTTTCCTCTCTATTTTTTTCTCTCTCTCTTTAATGAAAGGCTAAAAACAGCACCATTGCAATATGTACAAAGCAATCCAGGGGCACATTTGATTCCACTGCCGCGATCGTGGATGTTCCCCTATCTTAGATCAAGGTGAAGTGGTAAAAATGCACCCGTCACAAATAACTCTAGAAAAAACAAAGCGCCCCTTCGCTGGCTTTATCTGAACATCAAATAAGCTTCCTTAATCAGGCGAACTGTCTATGAATCTTTGGCCTGTGATGTCACGATAGTGGGGTCTAATCTTGGCGATGCGTGCGGGAGTTTTTTTCTTTATGATTGTACAAGTCTACACATTTGATGCTATTTGTGAATGAACCTCAGTTGGAAGTTCGCGCTCTGTCCGCTAATGTCGGTTTGCTCGGCTGTTTATTTTTCACTGTAATGCGCTATATAAGTTCAAGTACGACAAGCCAACTCGCCCATTCTTCAATACTTTTCGTTTAATGTCTCTTGAATTAAACGTCTGTGGCGTGCTCTGCAGTTCGAGTTTCATCATACCCCACAACCCACAGCCACTTTCATTATCTCACACACACACGCGCGCATATATATATATATATATATATATATATATATATATATATATATATATATATATATATATATATATATATATATATATATAATATATATATATATATATATATATATATATATATATATATATATATATATATAATATATATATATATGGCCTTCATCAGGAATCCTGATGAAGGCCAGTCTCTAGGCCGAAACGTCGAAATAAACCACGTTGTGACCGCTCACGGGAGATCTACTGGAATATATATATATATATATATATATATATATATATATATATATATATGAATGTGCACTGCTTTTGCTATGGGGTAGGGAGAAGTATGACGATTCGCCGATTCGCATGCCAGTAATGATGCACCAGGAGGAAAATGTTCAACCGCCTATTGCCACCTTGCGAAAAGAGTTGTTATGAATGCGCGCTGACTAGAAAAAACTGTTGTTAAGTGGATTACCCGTCAGTTTAGTTAGCCGCGGAGAACTTGATGCTAATGGGTGGCTGTTCATCTGTAAGCGAGTTAGCACGTACGAGAGTCGCTGAGAAAAGTAGACGTGCGCGAACTTCATGCCTGTCCGGAAGGGTTGAGCCGAACGTGTTCGCTCTCCACGTGAAGCACCGAGTCGACCCGTTATGCAATCCGCCCGTTTCTCCTCCTCTGCTCTTCTTTTGCGTACATTTGGCGGGCCGTCTCGGTCACACAGCCTGCCGCCCGAAGGAAATGACTGTGCGCGCAAGCTGGTTTCCTGGGAGTATCCTGCTCTCGAATATAGGTCAAGTTTAGGAAGATTACGCCGCATCATTTTCTTTCTTTTGTTAGCCTCCAGGGCGTTTTTTTTTTTCTGGCGTTTCCTTCTCTGGCCATCGCAGCAAGTGCGACGGTCAGACAATGCCCCGTTTCGTTCTTCACCGCGGCGAAGACGTGACGACATGTTTGGTGCATCGTTCACGCCAAGATGGCCATGCTGTGCCACATTCAATGGACATTTTAGCGCATCTGATTGATGTAAACGCCGTCAATGCGCTTGTGGGACGTGGTACGAGCTAGGGAGCAAGTGAGCCCTTAATGGTGAAATGCACGGAGCAAAAACGTGCTTCGGCTTGTTTAAAACAAAAGTGGTGCCCACTGCGTGCATACCCACGTTCTATGGGATAGTATCGTCGTCGTGGGCTCATGCATTGGTGAGACGTGTTCTCATTGGTGCAAGCAACGCATAGACAGTCTACGCGGAACTCGTCCGAATAATGAAAGTCGTATTTATGACGTCGGTGCGACGCGTCGCCGCTTCACGTCACCAAGAGCAATTATAACAGCATAATTTTCATTTAGTGTTTAAATCTACGGAAAACTCAACGTCTCTTTCACTGAGCACCTCTAGTTGCGCGATAAGACCACCCCGGCTAGATCTAGGCGTTCGGATCAGCCGCCATATTATTGGAACTGAAAAATAAGTCGGTGTCGTTTTTGACTTCGATGCTTACTTCTCAAAGCTGTCTGTTTAGCCCTCTACGGTGAGTACTCCAAAACACCGATGCAGGGGCAGGTGAAGGATCATGGACGGTACAATACGGCGTATGATCCACCGTGTGAATGCCGTTCCGCGGCTTGTGGCATATGTATGTGGCGGTGATTTAGGACATATGGGAGGAACGAGAACAGTGCGTTGGCTTCTGTCAGCACATGTGCGCTGGAAAACACCCCGCGTCCTTCTCAACAATTAAAATACAGATAGCTTTGCTCGCCGCGGCTTTGTCTTTGAACAAGATTGCAAACACTCCGCACGTGTCAGCGTCATTAACAGCGCCTCCGATCGCTCGTGATAGCACGAGCTAGTCCTAGATTGCTTATCCTTCTTTCGCCAGTATATATATGACCAACATCGCGGGTCCTCACTTTGGAAGGGATCTAGATTCTGCTTTTCGAAAATGGCGAGCTTTCGACGCAACCATTGTGAGCGATGTCATGCCGCGAAAAAAAAAAAAAAAACTGCTGCGAAGATTGTTCATGTCGCAGTCAGCGGCCGTGGTCGGAGTGTTTGGAGCGGCAAAAAACAAAACAAAAAAGAAACAGCTGGAGCCGATAGAACTTCAGGCTAGGAGGCTTGGATCCCACTTGCACTCGCATGCTGGTCCAATGATGGCTCGTGAGACGTGTGACACCGAGTGGCGAAAACCGTTGGTTACTTTTTTTGTCCCTCTAATCAAGACCTCCGAGGCATTTGCCTGTATTGCGCTCACAGAGGCATGGTATAGATTCGCGACAATTCGCGTTCGACAGAGAATCATTGCTAATGCTCGAAAGTGGTGTTTAATTAAAGTGCGTCATTTCTGGAAGGCGCTGCCAGACCTATTGCGAGAGCCAGAGGTGTGATGCGAGGGCGTTCGCAGGTGAAAAGCGACGCTGGACATTTCGAGAACCGGCTCGTGCGCTTCGTTTTCATGTTTGCTCTTCACATCAAGGGCGCATCGAGAAATCTAATTACATATTTCAACGTGTTACATATTAGCACAATAAATAAGTCGCGCTGACTATAATAAATGCTCCGTGGTGAGCTCCGGCTTGATTGCAAACGGCGTCCAGCGAGGTCTACAGCTCTGAGGCGTCAGTGCCCGCGTGTTGTCTCGATATGTTTATCACTCGCGATGGCATGCAGCTTTGTTAGCTATCTTTGTGTAAAACAAAGAAAAGCTGTCCAAAGTTTTTTTGTTTGTAATTCTTCTTGAGCATACAACGACTCCCAGGCACAGATGTCGAGGCGCTCTATGTGGGCGGTGCATAAGCTCTGCACCCTCGTTCGTCCCATGTGTCCTGAACCAGTGTGCTCCATGTCAGAGTGCACGGCGCAGCACGTCGGATCGGAGGCAGAGTCGATACTGTTTTGAGTGCTTTAGGCTTGCTGAAAAAATAGTGCTGCTATGATAAAGGACACCTTTTCTTCCCAGTGTTGTGGATGCTAAAGAACTAAAACGCATGCCTGCGAACACACCAAAAATGGCATAAAATTTTATAAATAATTGTCTCATTTGCGTGACAGAAATAAATAATGTTTTGTGTATTATTATAACAAACCAGTTAAGGTACGTTTAGGGTAAAGTGAAATTAGTGTTCACTTTGCAAGAACGTTTGTCTTTCTTTTAAATTTCCTTTCTTTTTTTCTTCCTTGCGTCACTCAACATATTCTGAACGTCTGTTTCTTCAGAGTCAACATCGTGTCCCTGACGTGTGGTGGTTCGTGTGCAGCCAAATAGTTGTCGCTAGATAGTTCAAGAAAAAAAAAGTACACAAAATGTCACATTGAAATTTACGCTGAACAGTCAAAACTGTGTCTCTCTAAAGCATTCATATTTTTCTTACACCGTTTTCTTTTTGACTGCGAGAAGACGGTACGTGACCTGGTATTAAAGTCGGCTGCAAGATGCCGTACTGCCAGCAGAATAACACGAAAGTGTCGAAGCTTTACCTCCGTTGTCTTGCTTTTGTGCCAAGATTAGCTGTCCCCGAGTCTACAATGATGACGCAATGGTAGCCCCGCCTCGGTGGTCTAGTGGCTAAGGTACTCGGCTGCTGACTCGCAGGTCGCTGGATTTAATCCCGGCTGCGGCGGCTGCATTTCCTATGGAGGCAGAAATGTTGTAGGCCCGTGTGCCCAGATTCGGGTGCACGCTAAAGAACACTAGGTGGTCGAAATTTCCGGAGCCCTCAACTACGGCGTCTCTCACATTCATATGAAAGTTTTGAGACGTTAAACCCCACATATCAATCAAGATGCAGTGGTAGAAGCGTGCGGAGACTATGCGAAAACGCCAGGGGAAGGACGCATGTGCCTTGCCATCATGACAAACGAGGAAGGGAGTATGTGGCGAAGGGTGACATCATGCGTCAACGTGATGTTACGTGAACGTCGATACAGTCGTCACACCCAGACACTCCGTGCCGTCGCATTCAAGCCACGTAAAGAGACTTACAAACAACGCTGCAATTTTTTAGGATGCTTTTTCCGTCGACTAAAGGATGTACGTGCGACAGCTGATATTAAAATTCCATGTTGGCAATCTATAGCTAATGGGACAAACGAACTCTTTTAAGTGTGCAAATAAGTTTTTTTGTACGAAAAGATTTTAGAACAAGGTGAAAAATAGAAACATTGAGTGCTGCTCACCTCGTGGTCCAGCAGTTCTGACTTGCTGAGCGACACGTACTCGGTCTGCTTGATGAGGTCCATGGCGTCTATGAGATCCAGGTCCCGCTTGCGCAGTCCCGTCTTGCCATTGAGCGACAGCATGTCAGCCGGTGTGGTCGCGGCAGTCTTCTCCATCTTGATGTCGTTGTTCATGGCTGACCACTGCACACAGAAAAGAAAATAGGCAAAGAAACGTTAGCCAGCTCGCTGAAATACGAGAGGTACTAGGTGCGATTCCCAAAGCCACCTGTTTCTATTTCCAGTGGGGAGAGAGATACCCCAACCTGAAAAGTGCCTCCACTCAGAGACATGGATACTTTTCTAGAGCGTGTCGGTTCTCCTTTGAGCTTATCTAGTATTGTTCACTCTCCCAACCACTCCCTCCCACCCACGAAGCTGCTCCGCACGTCGTTCTGGTTTGTGAAACTAACCGTGTTTTCTAACTTCAAACCACTATCGAAAAGAGAGCGAGTGATCTAATCTTCAGTGTATCACCAAATCTGGCGGCGTAAATGAGCATGCCGAGGTCACCCCCAGTCCCAAAGTCAGCTGAAAAATGCGCTCCAAAACTCCCTAGGAGAAATTTCAGAGGCTAGTCCGTATTTGGGCGGCGAGTACAGCGGTTCGGAGAAAGCACGAGGGTGGTGGACACTACGTGAATTCGCCGAATAGTTTTTATGGCTTCAATCATCTTCGTGATTTTGCACATCGGCATTTTTTTTTTAAGTTTACAAAGGCGCTATAAATGCAGCCCTTCGCAATTACTCTGCATCTGCGCACTCTCTTTTGCAATCGCTTTGAAATGTAAGCCATAATCGCAAATTAATCGTATTTGATGCTTTCATGCGTGAGTATGTTTTCATGATAACTCAGGAGTCGTATAGCGCCAAACTTCTATAAAGTAATTTTTTTAGAGCTTGGGGTCAACCTGCACGCCATCGCTTCACGCGAGATTTCCAGCTTTTGTTATCACGCGCGCTATGCTCCAGTTCCGCTGCAGCGATGACTCTGAACAGGGAAAAAAATAAGATGCTTTGAGAGCTTCGCTGACGCCTTCGAATGGATGCTGAATACAGTCGTATCTACTAACTTTTACTTGTTCTTTCTTCTTTTTTTTACGCGCCAGCGTTCGTGCTATAAGATGTGCTGCTCTAATGTCATTTGCAAGCATCTCTAAGGGGTTGGCGGCAAAGACTTGAATGAAGAGAGCCACGTTTAACGACCACAACAGTGTACCACAAACACGTGGGGGACATAGGAAGCATTCGTACAGCAAGAAGAAAACAAAGGGTCACCTTACACACTTTAAAGGCACAACAATCGTTTTTGGCCTTATTTCGACACATCTAAATGTTGAGCAAGAACGCCATGGCCAAAACCTTATAAATGTTAGAAGGCGGCCTTAGGAGAAGTAGATGAACAAAGAACGTCGCTGAAGCTCAAGTTTAGACAAGGGCGCATCTGCTCGTTAAGACAACGAGACAACGACTTCTCCAAGGGCATCTGGTGTTCAAAGATTTCTCGAAAGTTCAAGCCACCCTCTCCCCATGAATTTTAACCATAATTTGACCTCGTACATGAAAAGCGGTGCTGCATCTGCGTTATCAATGCCTGTCAGTTATTGAAAACATAGTGTAAGTCCCAATTTCTCGTTGATTGATATGATTCAACATTGATTGATATGTAGAATTTAACGTCCTAAAACGACCATTTGATTATGAGAGACGCCGTAGTGGAGGGCTGCGGAAATTTCGACCTCTTGGGGTTCTGTAACGTGCACCCAAATCTGAGCACACGGGCCTACAACGTTTCCGCTTCCATAGGAAATGCAGCCGCTGCAGCCGGGAGGAAGGTACTCCAGGATTAAGGTACTGCAGCTGGGATTAAGGTTAGTAACTAAGGTACTCGTCTGCTGACCTGCGGGTCAGCAGCCGAGTACCTTAGCCACTAGACCACCGCGGTGGGGCAAATGTTTCAACATTCCACACTTCTGCGCAGAAAGAAAAATCGTGCTATTGAAGTGCAGCCTCAGAGACTAATGGAGTCTAGCATGTGGCCATGAACACAAACGTTTCAACGACGTAAAAAAGAAAAAAAGAAAAATGAAAAGGACCAGTAGGAATACACTCACGCAATACGAAAAATCTAGATATTCCCGTTTCTGAAGTCTGTAACTTGCCTCTCACGTTTCGTCATTACGTGCAACTGGTGGGCTCAGTAACGGGAAGCAATTTGGAATACCTCTTATATAAGGACGTTCCCGACAGATGTGAGCCACGGAGTGAGAGCTATAGCCTATCGAAGAGCGCAGCAAACGGACAATATTTAAATAATTGAGGCATCCTCACATCTTCGAGCACGTCACAGCAAGGTATCCCCCGAGAAACAATGAGCCGCACACACACGGTCAAGCAGTCACAGGCTGCCGCTGCTACCGTTCATGTCCGTACACATTCTCACTGTGGAGCCCCACTGGTGGTGGTGGTGGTAGTGGTTCATGAGGAAAAGGAAGAAGGCACCTAATTTCTGTCTGCCTACAGGCGACACGGCAGTGCGAAAGGAAATGGGAGGTAAGGGGGGGGGGGTGCCAAGCATGGACAGGTGCGCACGCGTGTAGTGGCAGAAGGACTGGATGCGATGGTCTTTCTCCTACATCGGCAGTGCAACAACAGGGACCGCGGCCAATGCGGAAAAGGTTGGTATTGGGGTTCGCCGCCTGTGTGTGTGTTCTCGAGGTGGAAGGAGGAGGATGAGGGAAGATGTTGCAGAATAGAAGGAGGGGCGATTCTTTGAGCAGCCACAGCGGCTGCGCGCTTGGCCTAGACCTCTATGGCGAAAATTCGGCGATCGCCCTTGGAACGCCGGACTGCTTCTTCCCATGCGGGGCCTCCGGCGGACAATAATTGGAGTCGCTCATGCGGACCGTGCCCTGCGGTGGTTCCTCTCAGACACGCGCTCTGATTTTTGCTTTGCCTTTTTTTTCTTATTTTCGCCCCCAATGCGCCTCGCCGAAGAAAAAAAAAAAGAGGGACACGAGGCGCTAGTTCACAGGCAAATTCTCGCTCGCCGTCCACGTGTGCAATGTTGCCGAGTCGTGCGCGCTACAAACGTGGTTCCCTCCGTGCATCGCCGTAGTTTTACGCTTAATAAATATATTACTATTGAAACTACCACGTCCTGCTGCCTCAAATGATGTGAGCGTGCCACCACAGTGCCATCCTTCGTCAAGACGTGTGACTGGTTAATTAACCTTGTTCTATGTAAAAGTTATACTCTCCTTTGCTTTTTTTACATTTCTTTGTTTTTCTTTTTGTATGTGTGTAGGGTAGCCAAGCAGACACTTTTATGGTGAGCCTGTCTGTCTTTCCATTGATAATCAAGCCAGCTCAAATGTTTTGCTCTTCGAACACCAGTATAAATTTCTGCTGTTTCCCGCATCATCGGTACGAATAGCAGTATAAGAAAGCTCGAGGTTCGACACGTCGAAAGACCGCGCACACGTTTCTTTCAACAGATTGCACTGAATTCCACTCGTATTGATGTAAGAAAAGCATCGGTCGCTTTTTCCAATATTCAGATTGGCCACCTTCTTCTGTCTCCCAGCAGAACTTGTGGATGCGTTATGCATTCGGCACATCACTACTCCGAGCACCGAATTTAAATAAAAGATTGCGTAGTGGCTTCTCATTGAGACCGATTCTTCCATGCCATTGCAGTGACTAACCTCGTAGCTAAGTTTACTTGCGGTGTGCCATCTACAGAGTTAAGATTCGCCACAGCGTACTGATTCACTGAACGCCAACACTGCGCAGCCGTGACAGCATTACTTCTTGTCTTTCTTTGTCCTCATCCCCTCCCTCCTACACCACCCCCCCAAAAAATAGAAAAACGATCGGTGTTTTGTGAACTGAAACTCCTAGAAAGTTACTGGCTTTTCTACAAAACACGCTCAAGCGAAGACAGCGGCCGCAGAAAACATTTGTACAAAATGTTTTTTTTTTCAACTTCTACCACGAACTGTTGAATGGGCCTTTTTCAGGTCCAGTGGGGTCGCTGAAATTGAAACGGGAAGTCATTGGCTTCCAAAGTTGTCCTAGGAACATCAGCGGAGAATCTCGAGGGCCTGGTATTTTTCGTGGCAACTTGGAAATGTCATCACCCAGTGACCCTCAAAAAACATGGCCAGCATCACGTCACCGCCACGTTCCGAGACCAGGCAAAAATAACTCTCATGTCATTTATGTATTTACGGTCTATAAGTGAGGATACTGTACGAAGTGTTTTCTTTTTGTTCAGTGCATTTTTTTCTGCCGCCTGTTTCGCAGAATCGTACGAGGAGAAGGAATGACAGCGCGCGCTTTCATGCAGTTGAACTCTGGGATGCGATAAAGAAAAAGAAACGCTAAGCAAAAAGAAAAAAATCTTCGCTCTGAAATAAGAAAAAAATAATACAAATAATTATAATAAAAATTAAATAATAAAAATATAATAAAACGTGCTGCTTTTACAACCGCGGGAACTTTCGTAAAGCCATAGCCGAGTTTTAACGTCACTCTGAAGTTTACGCATGGATTCATGGCCGCGACGTCTAAACACTATTTTAGCAGCGTCCAGACGCTCTTGCTGCCTTGCAATGGCCCAAATAAGGCAGAGTTTTTATAAGTGAACTGCAAGACGTTTAGGTATCGGCAGCCCGATTTGAGCGAGAATGGCAAAAATGAAGCTTGGTTTTCCTCGTGCTGTTTCTTTTGACTTATTTTCTTTTCGCCATATCCTGTCCCTCAGTAGTTATGACGTAGGGCTACTTAGCACATGACTGTGGATTCAATTACATCCTCAGAGGCCGCATTATGATGGCACTGGAACGCAATAAACACTCTTTTACCGCCCGGCGAATGCACGTCGAACAACTTTCTGATGATCAAACGAGTCTCAAGTCGTGTCACTTCAACGTACATCATAAAGCAGTTCGTGGTTTTCGCGCGAAAATTCCAGAGCAACAGCTGGTGCTGTGCGCTTTCTGTGCGCATTAATTTGGACGTAGTGGCTGTCATGCAAGCGCAGCCTCGGTAATAGTGTTTCCACGTGCACGTCGATTTCCTCCGTCTAAGTGAGCTTATGTTCCCTTTGTGTGCACGCTTGTGTGTCGTGAGTCCCATCAG